CCCAGTGCTGATCATGGAGTGTCATAATGTAAAATCTAGTAATACTATTATTCTTTGTTCAGAATGGTTTTAATCTGCTTTAGTTTGTTTACTCTCAACATAAATGAATCTATGGATAACTGCATGTATGTTTAAGTGTATAGGATTGACAACCATGTTACTAAGTTTTTGTTGGACAGTTGAACAGAACTGTTTACAGTCTCGCTGTTTGAATTCCTACTTTACATGCTCCATTTTTGTATCTTGAACAACTATTTGTAAAACAACAATATGTAAACATCAACTAGTGATTTCTTACTGTTTATTTTTTTCTCTGAATGTATGAATTATTTCTACCTATTTTCTGTTTTGTTTAGTCTTTCTGTAAATAAAATTTTAAAAAATGAAATAAGCAATTATTAGGGATTTGATCTAATAAGAAATTTTAAGGATATGTCATATACATTTATATCCTATATTCCTTTTTATTTTACTGCATTAGTATTGTATTTTGATAAATAACTCAAAGACTTCAGAATTCTAGGAATTCTGATTGGTAAAAACTGGAGTTCAGAAACACTGAGTAGATCAGGAGCCCAGTGTTAACTGGGGACACTTCTGGGCTTAGGGAACATGGTTACACCCTAAGTCTTGAGATGGATTCAACAGAGTAACTGAAGAAAGACTGTTATAAACAGTCGGGCTTTCATTTGCACATATATTTAAATATCACCCTATTTTTTTGAAAATCAGAATGGTTCCCAAACAGATAATAGATAATAAATTGTAAGCATCAGCTTCTTTCCCAAGGTCATTCTATATAAGTGAAAGTTTTCCAAATGTTTCCAGGGAATTCTGGAGTTAGAGTAATAAACCCATTCTTGTTTCTATCTAAAGAAGAAAGAGAAGGTTGGGTGTGGTCATACACATCCGTAACTCTAGTACTCAGGAGGCAGAGAAGTTCAAGGTCATCCTGGGGTATAAAGTGAGTTTGAGGCCAGCCTGAACTACATAGTGACATTTTGTCTTAAAAACAAAAACCAAACCAAACCAAACCAAACCAAACCAAACCAAACCAAACCAAACCAAACCAAACCAACAAAAAAACTCACTGAGAGAGAAGTTAGGGAAATAACACCTTTCACAATAGTATCCAAAATAATGAAATACTTAGGAATCAACAAATGATGTAAAAGATCTATACATTGAAAACTATAGTACTCTAAAAGAAGAGACTGAAGAAGATGTCAGAAAATGGAAAGGTATCCCTTGCTCTTGGATGGGAAGAGCCAACATAGTAATAATGGCCACGCTCCCAAAACTGTTTTACAGATTTAATGCAATCCTGGATCAAAATACTATTAACATATCTCACAGATTTAGAGACAAATTCCTAAAATTCATTTGGAAATAGAAAAGACCTAGAATAGCAAAGGAAATCCTGGGCAACAAAGGCAAGGCAGGAGGCATCACAATCCCTGACTTGAAATTATACTACAAAGCTAATGTGATAAAATCAGAATGGTACTGGTAAAACAACAATAACAAAAACCTGAGGACCAATGAACACACTGGAAGATGTAGACACAATTACCAAGACACTCAGCCACCTTATCTTTGACAAAGGGGCTAAAACATATTTACTGGAAGAAAGATAGCCTCTTTAACAAATGGTGCTGGAAAAATGGCTTTCCATATGCCAAGACTGAATCTAGACCCATGGCTATCACCGTGCACTAACTTCAAGTCAAAATGGATCAAAGATCTAAATATTAAAATAGAAACACTGAATCTACTAGAAGACAAGATAGGTAGAAATCTTGAAGACAGAGGGGTAGGCCAAGAATTCATGAACAAAATGCAAACTGCATGGGAAGTACTTCAAAGAATCAACAACTGGGATCTCATCTTATTAAAATGTTTCTGTACTTCAAAAGAAATCATCCACAGAGTGAAAAGAAAACCCACAGAATGGGAAAGAATTTTAGCCACCTATTCCTCAGACAAAGGACTTGTATACCAAACATATAAAGAACGGAAAAGCATGAGGCTCCCCAAGTCAAAGACTTACCACAAATGGGCATCTGAGATGAATACACACTTGTTAAATGAAGAAATACAAATGGCAAATAAACACATGAAGAAATCTTCAACATCACTGGTCATTTGAGAGATGCAAATTAAAACAACCTTGAGATTGCATCTCACTCCAGAAAGAATGGCTGCCATCAAGAAATTAACTGATAATAAATGTTGGTGGGGTTGTAGGGAAAAAGGAATGCTTCTCCACCGCTGGTGGCAGTAGAGACTGGGGTGGCCACTGTGGGAAACAGTGTGAAGATTCCCCAGAAAACTAGGATTGGAAGTCCCATTCAATCCAGCTATTCTCCTTCTGGGTATTTTCTCAGAAAAACTGAAAATTACATGCTACAATGATATACATACGCCCATGTTTATAGCAGCACAATTGTAATAGTGAAATATTAGAAATACCCCAAATGCCCATCAACTGTGGAATGGATAAAAAAGATGTGGTATTTTTATACAATGGAACATTATTCAGCTATAAAGAAGGACAATCTTGAGGATTTTATGGATAAATGGAGGTAATTGAGACCATATGCGTACGTGAAATAAATTGAAATCACATTTGTAAATATCGTATTGTCTCCCTAGTGTAAAAAACAATAAACTGAAAGGATAATAAGATCCAAAATATACAATAGATATTGTGATAATAAAAGAGAAATAAAGTGCTCAAAAAGAAAGAACAACTGGGCTAGGAGAAAGAAGAAATAAGGGAAAAGATTATATATATATATACATACACACACACATACACACACAGAGGAATACATATATATGTGTATATATAGTATATATACACAAGATAAATAGTTATATTACTAACTTGTGTTAGTTCATCCAAAAGAACAGTTTGTACTTTCTGTTTGATTGATCATTTTTTTCATGCCTAAATCTTATAACCTGAACAACTACTAAGATAACAATATGCAATATATTAATTAGTGTTAATTTCCTACTATTCTTTTTTGAGATTCTGTATTATTTCTATCCTTTTTTGTTTTACTTTTTTAAAATAAAAAAATAAAAACAGTATTATGAAAAAAAAAGAAGGGAATTATGCTTCCTCGTGCCCACAGCACAGGCACTGTGCTGGAAACTTTTATATTTTTTATGTCACCTGATCCTTACGGCACCCCACTGACTATCCCTAGTATTGCAGGTGAGGAAAATTCAGCTCACAATCCCCCAGCCACACCACAGCAGCCATTTTGCAGTCTTCCCAAGTTACCTGGTACATAATGCTCTGCACCCTACTCCAGCCTTAGTTATTTGATCTTTCACAATTTGCCCTTCGCCTTCTGGTATCTCTCTCATTGTCTATTTACTAGTGGTGTGAGAGGTGTTAATGGAGCATTTTTTTAGTGGAGCATTTTATTGTGAGTACAGAAAAAGGATACTAATGCAAAAATACAGAGTGCATACACAGTTCTCACGTTTATCAAGTGGGCACGCTCCTGCTCTATTGCTTAATAAAGGACTGAAATCTGGTAAACTTTATACTCTTCCTCATGCCAATCTTATTTGCCAGTATATATATTTTTTTGGTACTGGGATTAAACTAGGGCCTTGCTGATGCTCAGCAAGTGCTCTATCAGTGTCTTTTTTTTTTTTGAGGAGGGGCAGTCAGACTGCGAAGGATTGAATCAGGCTCTTGTACGCGCAAAGACTACTACTGAGTTACATCTCCAACCCTGCCTTATTTGTTCTTTATGTTGGATTTGGGATTTTCGGTAGAGCATGGCTTCCTATTGTTTCTGCACCATCTGCTTTTTGCATTAGTATTATTTGCCAGGTCTCTGAAGGCATCTGACCTCTGGGATTTAATGGTAGTTGTAATCATTAGCACCTCATATCCAAGTAATGGGTCTCGGTTTTCTCTTAAGACTGCTGTGAAGAGTTGCTCAACAGACAATGTACAGTTGTGGGACTGTACTTGTAAGGGCTACAGATGTGAGCTGTACCTCCAGGAATCATGCAGTAAATATCCTACACAATGGCTGGTAGTAGCACACAGGAAATGGCTGTCCTGAATCCAAAGCCTAAGGATGCTCATTTTCCTCATCCCAAGACAAGGAAGAGAAGCCAGGATGACTAAAGAAGAGGATTATATGTATTTCAAAGGATGATCAGTTTTACAGTTTACCATGGTGAAGTCCAACCTTTGAGTTCCTGAAGTTCAAAACAACCAACTGAATTGTTGCAAGTTCGAGACCAGCCTGGGCTATAAAGTGAGCCAAAGGCCAGCCGGAATTGCATAGCGTGATCCTGTCTCAAAAAGAAAACAAAAATAACAACAAAACCAAACAACAAAACCAAACAAACACAAAAACCCATCCAATTGAATGTCATCTCTGGACACTGCAGGTCCACATGCTGTTGTCCCCAAAGCCCTGAAATGACCATAGTCACTAAAGTAATTAAGAAATTTGAGTAGGGTATTTTCAACAGTGGTGAGAAAAACAAGTTTATGCTTCTTAGAATCTCAGTATATTAACAGTGAAAATTACTGGTTGCTTTTATATTTTTCCCCAGGTGAGGAAGGCACTGTGAATGCTTTCATTTTTTTATTCTCAAGAGAATGCTAGCGATCCTTAAAGCATTTGAAACAGCGAAAGCATACAGTGATTCAGATCTGACATCTAGGACTACACCCAACATGGGCTGAACTAGTCAAAACCTGAAGGTTAAGTGAACTAGAAACTATGATTGCTGAACCCCAGGTAAGGTTCAGATTCCTTAAAGAAACATGCTGTGTTCATATTCATGTCTCTGAGATGTCAAGTGTATCAAACAGAAACCATCTATGCCGCAAGCCTAACATGTGGGTGACTTAGACATCAATGTGGCACAGGGTACACTTCCTAACTCTTCTCAGTTTTCTGTACGTCAACAAACTGTGTTTAACAGCCATACAACCAACTAAATTATCATACCTCTTCAGGCAAACTGACCACCAAGTCATTTTTTGTCTGTCCAACCAGCGCCTGCCAGAAGTATTCGCTGCATGCGGCCAGCACAGCCCGGTGGGCTCGGAACTCCTTCCTCTCCACGATCAGAGTCACGTCACAGAGAATATCCTTTTTCCGCTGGTCATTGAGGCCCAGGAGGATGTTGGTGCAGTGGACTGTGGACTCATACACATACATGGGGGAGTCAGGCTTCTCATCCACAGACATGCCGTTCACACCCTAAAAGAAAGAAAGGCTGAGTCACCACCAGTCTCAGTCACAGAGAGAAGGCAAGAAAAACATCTCCGCTCCCACGTCCCTCTGCACGAGCCAGGGAGAAGGGTGCAGAATTGCCGATCAGCACCTTCATGGTCCGTTAACATAATGAGGTCAGAAAACATATCTGGAAAGTCAAGTTTGATGAGTGTCTTGTGTCCTTTCTACTCAATGCATTCTTTCACTTAAAACATTCGATATAAACATACAACACACATACATTTTACAATGTGTGGTTTTGATTTTGTTAGCAGGCTGAAACAACTTTCCATGTAAACAGTTCCAATTTAAGTACTAATTGAAATTTGTGCTAGGAGGAAATGAATAGTTTTGAATGCTGTTTGATGAAGCACAGGTAAGTTCCCGAGTTGAAGTCTGATTAAGATGCCAACTAGGATAAGTATCTAATCACAATACATGATTTAACAGGTGAACACACTGCATGCACACTGAAGTGTACATGTAGTCAGCTGTTATACCTGCCTGCTGCCACCTCAAGACAAAGTACAATCAACACAGTACAACTGTTGCTTGGCCAACAGATGTGGAACTGTGCTGTTATCACCCCAGTACCATTACTGATGAGAATCCTCTTTAAGGAAACAACATCACAATAGGAGTCATAAAAAGGTGTATTCATAATGAGCATTACATTTATAAAACTTTTCACTTTAAAAAGTATCTTAAAAATACTATATTTCTTGCCTTAAACATGCTTAAATTAAAAATCAACTTAAAAACTTGTCAAACCTATTGGCTAGAATTGTAATGGGGACTCAGCCGCCCTGTAACAGCAGTGGGTACAAGGGTGTTTTGCCAGGCAAGGGGCAGTCATTAATAGTGGTGAAGCAAGGCAGTGCACAAACTGTCAGATTCGAGGTCACAAGCAAGACTGAGCTCTCTCTTAGATCGCAGTCAGCCTCCGTATTCTGCTGATAGGGCAGGCTTGGGAAAACAAGGGACATGTGACTGTGTACGTGCTCCAAGTTGATGAAGTAGGCTATGACAGTTACATAAACATGGATCTCTGTCTTTTGGAAAAACCTTTCAGAGAGTCGTAGAAAATATTTAAACAGTACAAATTCTACTCATCAAAGAGTATTATCCAAAATCTATCATTATCTGAAGTTCCTGCTAGGTTTACTAAGTATTTTCTTGATTTTGTACATTATTCCTTCTTTCTGCCATACCAGAGCCACTCTGTCGGCCTTCACATTTCTACTGAGTCCTGTCACACTTTTCCTGTAGATCCCTTGTGATACACTGAGTCTGCATGTCCCCCAAAGCCTATGCAGGCATGTGGACAAGCTTTTTGAGGTCAGCTTGTTAAACCTGGACCTCTTGTTTTCATGCCCTTACCTTAGGAAGCAGAAACAGCATTTCGAGCTCAACTCAGCAGTGGGCCAGGACCCTCACTTTGTAAACATCCTCAACCTGTGCCCGAGGGCACAGTGACGGTGTGAGTGGTACACCCACCCTGGAGGGGGCAGCGTGCATACAGTGTAAGGGAGGAAAGGGGGCTTGCTTTCCATTTTTGCTCTTGTTGCTTTTGCAGTCTTCTGCTGCTTCCAGGAACAGTTGCTCCTTTGCTATGCCACCCTGCCTTAGAACCAGCTGATATGGACTAAAACTCCATAAACTGAGCTAAATAAACCTTTTCTTCTTTAATTTTGGGCATCAGGTATTTTGTCTCAGCACGAGAGAAAAACAACTAAGCCCCGCCCCCCCTTCAAACATCGCTGTTTCTGCAGCCCTTCCTATTCTCTAGTTACCATGGGTGCTCTTCTAGGAACTCCAGTCTGTCTGTTTTGACCAACCAATATCAAAGTGAATTCTGCTTCTCCTATCATGATATTAAATACTTTAAACCTGCTTTACTAATATTTATTGACACTTTTTACCCTACTGCAGCAAATTCTCAGATCTTCAACAGGACTCATAGGATCTAAGAATGAAATACTTTACAGTATAGTGAGTAACAGAGCTCAGAATAGCATCTAGGAGTCTGACAGTCAGTCTGTAAGCATTAGACAATGTGTTAAGTATGTAGACATTGGCTGAAATCAGATTGTAAGAAAGCTTTCCAAGGGTTCTTATTTGGATTTTGGCTGGGTCTTATTCTTTTTTCTGTAGGCCAAAAACCCCAGTTGCATACATACACATGTATATAGTTCAATAATTTGATCATATGGTTGGGCAGTCGAAGTTAATTACTGTTATTTTATTATGGTATGCTCATCTCTTCAAACTGATTATCAATCAAAAGTACAATATTAATGAATGGAGACTCATTCATTAAGTCATCCACTCTTCATTCATATTTGGGTCATGTTCAGAAATTAAAATGACTAACAGTTCTGAAGGTAAAAGTATAAATCAAAAGTTAAAAAAAAATCCACAGTCAAAAATCTGAAAAGCTGCAATTCACAAGAAAAGTAGAATGTTAAGTTTTACAGACAACCTGTCATGTCTAGAATGCTTCAGAGGAAGAGAATTGAATATGTTTTGCAGGTAATGAAAAAAACCAAGTTATAAATCATTTTATTTGATGTTTCAACCACATTTCTTCCAGAAACAATGCATTAAGCAAATACTTCTATGAATCAAAAGCTAACTTATTTAGTAATTGCTGAGTAAATTTTCTGCTTTTATCAAGCATTATTTTTTTCAAAGTTATTTATTATAAATCTGTAAGAGTAGTTTTTACAAAAGACAGTTACCAAGACTTAAAGAACTTTTAAGACTACACAGTGCTTCTAAAATTACTCAGTTACCACTTTTGCACTTTTAAACTGCATCAAGACTCAAACTTCTTACTTAAAGTGGAAACAAATTCAATTTCAGTACCTTGTAATGGAAAACTGTGCTTGTCACTTAATGTTGCTAATGCCTTAGCTAAAGTAAGGGTCTGACACGGAGCAGCTAAAACGTTTAGTGTTCTTTATTTACTCAAGCACTCCATCTGTGTGCCTACTAGTTAGTGCCAAGTTAACTGAAATTTAAGGCTGCTGTTAGGAGGAAGCATTTGAAATTGTACCATCACACCCTTAATAGCTCTGTATGGTTCTTGTACTTCGGTATAAACTCCCATTTTCCTTGACTTTCAGGAGGAAGTTCAAGTTACTGAGATAGTTTGTGACAATGTTTTTTATTGCGTAATTGAAAAATATGTAAAAAATTTAAAAAGGAGTCAATAAATAATAAATTACACTATTCTTGCTAAATTTTTGGTTGATGTAATTGCTTCATTTATTCTTATGCAAACAAAAATAAAAAAATCCTGTCATGTAGCATAAGAAAGTAGTGACTACTCGCACTTTTTTCTACACTTAAGTACAAACTGAGTGGAGAAGCAGGGTTTGATACAGAAAGGGAGCTGAAAGAACTATTAGAATTATGGTATCAGATCATTATGTACTGATCTAAATGTAACAAACAATTCAGTATATATTAAACAGACACCAGATTGGAAAAAATTAGGATTTACCATGTTAAGTGTTTTTGAAGATGAAAAGTGACAGGAGTTGTCTACTGCAGGTTGGTTCAGACCCTTGGAAGACAATCTGGCATTATCTATGGTAGTAAAGTTGAAGACACGCATAGATTATGATCGTGACTCTATTCTCTAGCTTACACTCTACAGACACTCCCACATATCTGTAACAGGAACTCATGGCAACATTGTCCAAAATAATTTCCTATCAGAAGAATAAAATGTCTGTCAGTAGCAGAATGTACAAATGCACTGAGATATATAGTATTCATATATTCATATCATGGAACAATATAAAGCAAATTAAAGCCACATGCAACAATATGGAAGAATTTCATAAACCTAATGTTGAATACAGAAGCTACAGAAGCAAGGCATAGCGAAATAACATACAATTTGATTCCATTATGACATTTAAAATGGGCAAAACTTAAACATCTAGGAATACTGTTATGAACTGAATTAATTCCCAATGTGATGGGCTTTGAAGGTGGTCCTCTAGGAGGTAATTAGGTCAGGAGGATTTAGCTCTCGTGAATGGGATTAGTGACCTTATAAGAGACTATCCTCTCTTTATCATGTGAGGACAGAGTAAAATGACAGTTGTCTATAAACCAGGACGAGAGCTCTCACAAGAAATTGAGCCTACTGAAACTCTGGTTTCATATTTCTGAACTACAAAACTGTGAGAAACACATTTGTTATTTAAGCCACCCAGTATGGCACTTTGTTGTAGCAGCCTGAATTGACTGAAACAGACAAAAGTAATAAAACCTTGAAGAAAAAGCTCAGAATAGAGGTTCCCTTTGGGGGATTAGTACTGTCATTGGAAATGGGTACTGCATTTATTTTTTTTCCTTATGGCCTATGGTCAAATTCTAATTTTACTTAAAGAAAGACTAAACAAAACAAAAAATAGGTAGAAATAATACATATGTTCAGAGAAACAATAAACAGTAAGAAATCACTAGTTGATGTTTACATATTGTCATTTTACATATGTGGGAATTTAAACAGCAAGCCTGCAAACAGTTCTGGTCAACTGTCCAACAAAAACTTAGTAACATGGTGGTTATTCCTATACACTTAAACATACATGCAGTTATCCATAGATTCATTTATGTTGAGATTAAACAAACTAAAGCAGGCTAAACCATTCTGAACAAAGAATAATAGTATTGCTGGATTTCACATCATGACAGTCTGTGATCAGCACTGGGTACTGTAGTGTCTTTTTTTAAAAATTTAACTTAAAGAAAGACTAAACAAAACAGAAAACAGGTAGAAATAATACATAATTTCAAAGAAAAAATAAACAATAAGAAATCACTGGTTGATGGTTACAGATTGTCTTCTTACAAATAGTTATTCAAGATACTAACGTGGAACATATGAAGTGGGGATTCACACAGTGAGAACCCAACCAGTTCTATTCAACTATCCAACAAAAACTAAAAAATATGGTTATCCA